AATGTATTTCTATATCCTCGTCTTCATTATTCGTTATGTTCTTACTCTCCTATTTTATCAAATTAGAAAACTTGTTTTGTATAAGCAAAAATTTTCTTATATTTCAATTTAAGCATTTGAACCATAAAATATGATGGTTAGATGTAATGCTTCCTAAGGAAGATTAATGGTTTGTTTAATATTATCTAAAGGAGATGTCATCCCAAGGGATGTTCCTTCATCTATTTTCATAGACAACAACAATAATTTAATAATCAAAAGATGTAAAACTTAAAAAATAGATAGGAGAAAATTAAACAGAGATCACCAAAATAAATATATGATTATTTAGGCGCAATATATAGTCAGATACGCAGAAATCATAAATAGCTATAACATAATTATTAAACATTTATATCAAATAGTTAAAATTGAAGATAAATAACTATTATTAATATTTAAGTTTGGTTGAATTTAATAAATAGTAGATTATTAAGTTTCTTTGACTTTATTATTTGGAATGTTTATAAGTGGCGATTGATTTATACGAATTTTTGGTTAAATAATTTATTAATTTAAATTGATTAAGCAGAGAAGCTATGATTAATTTGATAGTATAAAAAACCCGTACTTAAAAATCCACCATTTAGTTATAATATAAGCCCTTTTGAATAAGCAAGACTTATTAAGTAAAACATAAAAAAATTAAATATTTTAAATAGCTTCAATTAAAATATATATCATAAAAATTGATTTAACAGAGCAAAATTTGATATACTAAATGTTTAAATTTTGACTTATTTGAACTTAAATAATACTTTTTTATTAAATTTTGAATTTACCTATTCTCTATCTATGCTATTATAATCATTATTACTATTAATCTATCAATAATCTATTGATAAAGCTGTTGTTTAAAATATTTCTAAAAATTATTTTCATAACATTTTTGGATAAATGGTATAATTGGCTAATTTCTGAGAAAATAATTTTACATATATCCTTTTATATCTTATTCAAATTTGTAACTCCAAAATAAGCTAACCAAAATATTTATTCAAATACATCTAAAATCACTAGTCTTTTTAATATCAAATTCTGAACGATACCCAAATGAATATAATTATAAACATGTAAAATTTAGATTTTATATCATAATTATACCAATGTAACTTAGTATATCAAATGATATTTCTAGAATAGCCTTCATAAATGAGAATGTCTTTTATATACTTAAAGGGAATAGTTATAAATTATTGTAACTAATCTTAATGTAGTAAAATAAATTGTAATAAACCCTAAATATAATAAATAAATATATTTATTAGCATCTTTGAATCTTCACAAATAGCTCTTTTATAAGTCTTAGACAAAGTAAGGGATTTCCCCAATCAATCTATTAGAGAAATACCACTAAACACCTACTTAATTTTAGAGACTAACAATTTATCTAAACTATTAATGAGAATATTTAATTAAACTAAATAAAAAGAACAATTTCAAGGAACAATCCATCCATTAGTTTTGAAAAATAAGCAAGAAGTTCATGCAAAAGAATTTCATCAGATGGTTAAAATAAGTTGGGTGATTCACAATGAAAAAAAACTTATGGGCGCTTAATGATATATCAACGGTTGAAAAGATCATGAAGTCTTATGAAACATACACCTAAGACTCTAGCATTGACAAAATTGAAAACACTTTCCTAGCAAACAGTGGCATCAATATAGGGAATTCAAGATAACTCTTGGAGGATAATCATGTTCACCTGCTCTCTACCAAAAGCAAAACATGGATATACCCAATAGAACAATATTATGAGGTAGATTTATTTAGCATACAAATCCGCTAATACATGTTCTCTTTAAATAATCAATCAAGAGAATATAACCAGAACCGGAATAAAAGAATGTAAATTTGCCCATTCTGTCACGATGTTCTTGGTTGGGAAAATGCAATCCGCCATTATTGTAAAGACTAAGCAAGTACCGACTTTATTAGCCTTTTTGGACAGTCGGCACCCAATAAGAATTGAACATTATAAAATAAATAAATACATCAGGCTTTCTTTTCTCAATGAGATTAATACTGCTTACTAAAATGCTCCCGATTATACCCCCAAAAATTATTATAAGCCATTTTATTAAGTTGGTTGAGACTAATTAAGTAACTAGATTTAAACAAATTTTCACTGAAAGGGTTGATACTTTCTAAATTGGAGTTTTGTTATCTTTTTGATGTTCTTAGCATATAATTTGGCTAGTACTTATAATACTTTAAAAACAGTTGAGGTATTTGATTGAAAAATAAGAAAAATTACATTAACATCTAGTTTACTAAGTAAAAGGAAGAAGAAAAGAATTAACAAAGAGGTTTATACTTATAGGGATTCAAGCTAGCATGTAAGATTAGCTTAAAAAGGTATTTATTATATAATAGAGATTAATAGATATTATATATTTGACAATTCTATTTTAATCGGAAATATAAATTTTATGTTGCAGGCATCTTATTAAAAGTTTTTTAATTACATTAGTGAATATGGTGATTTCTATTATACAGAAATCTTGTAAGTATATATTTAAAGGAAAAGATTAGTTTTTTAATAAAAAGAAAATTTTGTGCAATGAACAAAACCACTTCTACAGTCTTCTTCTCTTGAATATAACTCAAAATAATAATTTATGATAGGTAATCCAAATTAACTCTGGCTAATGAGAGACATTCGCTAAGCAAAAAATCAAGTCAATTAAAAACAGGCGATTTATCTGAAGGTATTTATTATATTTGCAAAGGACTATGGGTCTGAATATATTTGGCATGTAAGAAAAAACCCAAAGTGAAAATATTTATCAAAAAAAAAGAATGCTTAATATAGTGAATCTAAATTGAAATATTGTAGAAATAATTAAATAGTAGATCAAAAATAATAATTAATCAGTTATTTCTGTGGTAATCTGAAAAGCCTGATAATAATTAAATGGAACACTGAATTCCCAATTGTGTAGAATAACACTATATATATAGTATGGAGAGAAATAATTAGATTGGGATTAGAGGTTTTCTTTTATGATAACTTTAATTGCATTATTCTATACAATAGGACTTGAATATAAGCATTTTCCTCTAGTTTTATGATTGAATTGAGACATTCATACCAGGAACACCAAATAATAATTAGTACATAAAATTATAATAATTCCCTTATAATAATTTCACTATGCTTGAAAATGAACTCATTTAATTTGACTAAGGAAAAATACTCTATCCTCAAATTCTAATTTATACCAAATAGTTTAATACAATAAAATATTTACTGTAATCATACATTGTAAAATAAGATTTTTTCAGAAATAGTCAATACTGTCAATTTAAACGAATTTATCTTTTACATTTGATAGCATAATTACTTTTTATGATTAATTTTTCTAAACATAAACTCAGAATATTAATAAAACATTTATGGTTTCACTAACATTTTAAAATATTTTGGAAAACTTAAATATAGTTTTCATATAATACTTATTCTAATGATTTCTTATTAGTCTTTAACAATTTGAATATTCTTGAAATAGACATAATAATATTAATGTCAAGTTTTTTATTATTTTGAGGTATTTAATTCATTTTGTTATTAATTAATAAAAATATAAATATAATAAAATTTAATAGGAGTAGAAAAATGTCAATCAAATAAGAATTAAATAGTATATTAGAAATTAATTTAAAAGAAATAGAGAAACATTTAGATGTATATATTTATTAATTTAATACTTTTAGTGTTCTTTTGATAAAATTAACAATTTTATAGATTAAATATTCATTCTAGACTTTCCAATTTAAAAGTTTAATAATCAACAATAAGAATCATAATTACCAAAAGTTAATGAATTCAAATTAATTGATTAATCTTAATTTTAATCATAGATTATTTAAGAATTGCAACCATTAATAAATAATTAAATTAAACATTAACTATAAATTTAATTATAATAAAATTAAGATCATTAATAATAATAGTAATAATAATAATTAATTCAATCTTAATTTAATATTAAATCATTTAATTATTAGATAATTAATCATAATTCTATTAAATAAAAACAAGAATATTGTTGTGCAGTTGCTTTTAATAAAGTTTGCTCAATTGTAGCAGCTGGATGTAACAATTTAATAAAAATATATGAATTCAAACAAGGAATGTTGAAATAAAATCAAATCTTAAATGATCATAACAATTTGGTTAGCACTTTAAATTTCATGAAAAAATCCAATTAGTTTATATCTGGAGATAATAATGGATTTATTATGATATGGTAGAATAATAATAATAATAATAATAATTAATGGATTTGTTCATAAACACTTAAAGCACATAATGATCGTATAAATTGTTTAATTATGAATAATAATGAAGATACTATAATATCTAGTAGTAATGATTTTACTATTAAGTTTTGGATTAAACAAAATGAATGGATCTGTTAATAAACTATTACAGATCATAAACATTAGGTTTATTAATTAAATATAAATGAATAATAAAATAAAGTTATTTCATGTGGACGGGATCAATTAATATTAATAATAGAATATTCAGAATATAATAAAAAGTGGATGGTAATATAAAATATGAAAGTTGATTGTTAAGGATATCGATTATGTTTTATCAATGATAATCTTTTCACATTTCAACCAAAGAAAGGCAATTTAATGCACATTTATGAGATGAATAGTGTAAGTAAATAATTCATTAAAACTAAAAATATTACTGTAAATCAAGGTGATGATGGTTGTGCATTTTTCCCATAATAATATATAAAATCAAAATAGTTACTTGTTAGTAAGCATAATTAGAATATCAATTTAATAAGAAAGCTAGAAAATGATGAATTTAAAGTTGAATAATCTATTTAATTTGGTAGTAATTGTTTATTTGGATAAATAAGTGATGATGGAGAGTATTTGATTACTTGGGATCATTCATCTAAAGAAATATAAATTAGAAAATACACAGAAGAATGACAATTATTAAAATATAAATATTCATCAAAATCTTTTTAATTTAGATTTATATTACCTTCAGTTTATATAAATACAGTATAGAAAATGAATGAATACATTAATATTTATTTTTTCATTTCTCATTATATGTTGACTGCAGCCATTTTTTTCTTAAATATTATTTAGTAAAGAAATTATAGATAACTATAGTTTTAAATTCAAAAATTTACTTAATTAAGATAAAGATTTTTATACGAAAAAACCCATTAATATAGGTAATCTAATTTTGAATATTTTAATAATTTTGATCCACAATTCCAATCATAATTCAAACATAATTTTTCGAATTGAATCATTTTTTATCTTTATCATGATTAATGCATGATTATTTAATTCATGCATCAATTCAGCAATAAATTAAAATAAGAATGAACTATTAAAATTAATAATTTTGAAAGAGTTTAAGCTTGAAGTTAGACAAAACATAAGATAAAAACAGAACCACTAAAATATGGGTTTATGCATTAAGCCTTTGATAACTCCACTATTTGAACCCATTCGTTTATAAAAAAATATTTTGAAGCAATAAGTAATAAAAGTTACAAATTTTAGTTGTAATAAATTGATTTAGTAATAGTTACTTAAGTAATTTCTTATTAATAAAAATACAAAAAAGAAAAGATAAGGACCAAGGTTAATAAAAATAACAAAGATTATTATAAAAAAAAGTTAAAAAATAGATGAATTTCGGAAAGAAGAAGTTTTAAAACAATCTGGAGATATTTGACAATTAATCAATCTATTGTTAAATGAAGAATACCTTATAAATTTGTTGGAAATATTATGGCTACAAAATTAAATAGAAATTTAAATTATATGCATGATCAATAAAAGAAGGAAGAGATGATTAAAACAAAGAAATAAAATATCAATTATTAAACTTATTTTAATGATGTATTTAACTAATCAACGATTTTTTATTGATAATTAGTTTTTTTGATTTATAAATCAATATCTTATAATAGAATTAATCTTATGCAACTACTTTTTTTGATGAAAAAGATAAATACAGCCCTCTCAATTTTAGAAGAGTTTATAGAATTTTTTCAGATTTTGAAAAATAAAAATACAGCTATAGGAAGGTTTCAAAAGTGATTTTTCTTCTCTTGTCTAATGGATAAGGATAAGTATGATAAAGATTATACTCTGCAGAAAATTTTTGNGCAGCCATTTTTTTCTTAAATATTATTTAGTAAAGAAATTATAGATAACTATAGTTTTAAATTCAAAAATTTACTTAATTAAGATAAAGATTTTTATACGAAAAAACCCATTAATATAGGTAATCTAATTTTGAATATTTTAATAATTTTGATCCACAATTCCAATCATAATTCAAACATAATTTTTCGAATTGAATCATTTTTTATCTTTATCATGATTAATGCATGATTATTTAATTCATGCATCAATTCAGCAATAAATTAAAATAAGAATGAACTATTAAAATTAATAATTTTGAAAGAGTTTAAGCTTGAAGTTAGACAAAACATAAGATAAAAACAGAACCACTAAAATATGGGTTTATGCATTAAGCCTTTGATAACTCCACTATTTGAACCCATTCGTTTATAAAAAAATATTTTGAAGCAATAAGTAATAAAAGTTACAAATTTTAGTTGTAATAAATTGATTTAGTAATAGTTACTTAAGTAATTTCTTATTAATAAAAATACAAAAAAGAAAAGATAAGGACCAAGGTTAATAAAAATAACAAAGATTATTATAAAAAAAAGTTAAAAAATAGATGAATTTCGGAAAGAAGAAGTTTTAAAACAATCTGGAGATATTTGACAATTAATCAATCTATTGTTAAATGAAGAATACCTTATAAATTTGTTGGAAATATTATGGCTACAAAATTAAATAGAAATTTAAATTATATGCATGATCAATAAAAGAAGGAAGAGATGATTAAAACAAAGAAATAAAATATCAATTATTAAACTTATTTTAATGATGTATTTAACTAATCAACGATTTTTTATTGATAATTAGTTTTTTTGATTTATAAATCAATATCTTATAATAGAATTAATCTTATGCAACTACTTTTTTTGATGAAAAAGATAAATACAGCCCTCTCAATTTTAGAAGAGTTTATAGAATTTTTTCAGATTTTGAAAAATAAAAATACAGCTATAGGAAGGTTTCAAAAGTGATTTTTCTTCTCTTGTCTAATGGATAAGGATAAGTATGATAAAGATTATACTCTGCAGAAAATTTTTGGTCTTTTAGAATCTAATCATGATTCTTGATTAGTAATAGTATTTTGATAAACTTTCTTGTATAAGCAATACGGCCCTATATTATAATTTAGTATCAATACTTGCTGCTTTAGACATTGAAATGAAACTTTATGACACTTATATTCGATAACTTTCAGGTATATGAAGAAGTTATTATTTGCATGATTATGAATATTTCCTAATAGAGAACCGACTTTAGCAACTCTTCCTTAAGTTATTAAGATTAAAATCTCATTACATCTAATGAGATGTAATAGTAATGTTTTACAAGTTTATAAAAGAGGAGTTTATGAAGTACTCATTATAAAGTTTATGAAACTGGATTAGAATCTCTTCACCTTACTTAGGTATGTTGAAGAATTACACTTAAAAATGTATGGGTAAGATTCCTAGATATTATTAAATTTGGTATTTTGGAAATGTTAACAAAGAACTAGATGTGGCGTTAGGAAATATATAAAGGCAGTATATTAATAAGTAAAATTAATACTTAATCTAATTGCAAGATAACCCCCTCTTAATCTTTAAGTAAGATCCTTTGTAAATTCTATATTGATTTTAAATACCTAATAATAAATATTATAAGATTAAACTCTTGACTTACCCATTAAGGCAATAAAGGTAGCTAAGGATGAAAATTAATCTACTCTTTAGTGCTAAGCTTCATATTAAACTTTGTTTAATTAATTAATGTACGTTTAGAATACTATATGATATAATTTAATTAACTAAATTAGGTAATCTAAAAGATTCTAAATAATTTAATATAAAGCGTAAAATATAGAATCCTTAAATTTCTGATTTTTAAGATGTCTCAAGATTAGAACTATAATCATAATTTAAAAGTATATTTTTTTAATTATGATTAATAATTAAGATTCAAAAAAAAAATAATATAAAAAAGAAAGATATTTAAGGGAAGAAATTTGAAATTAAGAAGAACTATATAACATAGTACTATTTTAGATCTAAGATGCTCAATTATTTTATTCAAAATATTTAGTTGAAATTTGATTTTATTTCATTATATTTCTAAAATTTTATATTTTTATCATTATAAATAGATCTATCGTTTAGTATAAATTAAAAAATAAAAATTTAAATATTTTCTTATATTAAAATTTAATTAACAAAAATTCAAAAATTGATTTTATTGTAATTGTCACCAACTTAGAGCTTTGAAGATGACCAAACTAGTTTAAATAATTTTTAATAAAAAATATTATTTCTCATTAGATGTAAACATAATATGAGTAATTTAATTTGAAAATCTTCAAATTGCTAAATGTTTGGTATTTATTCTAGGTTAACTTTAAATAAGTTCTAAACAGATCAACAATTGTCTATATATCAAATTAAATAACATAATAATAAACTCAAGTTATTAGACATTATCTCGTGCAATTAAGAGCTTTAGTCTAAAATTAGTAGCACTAATTTCCTCTTGGTGATATTACCTAAGCAGATCAAGTTTAGACTCAAAAACATCTTAATTATTGATTTTATTTTCAAAGGCAATAAAGTTCAAATACTGTACCTAATCATATTTTATAACATATACTTAATCATGTTTTATAACATATCAAAAAGTTCATAACTCTCCTTACCATTAGCATTTATTTATTTATTTTAGTATAATCAAAAACATTTCCTTCATTTTGAACCTAAAATTTATAAGGTATTCAAAAAAAATTATTCTAATTTTCTTTTAAAAATTCTAACATTCTATGAACATTCTTACGAAAATATTTTTGTTTAAAATATCTTACTCAAACTCCCTTATCTATTCATAAAATCTTGCAATTAAATCCAAGTAATCTAGACTGAAATTATATGCCAAATTTGCACTATTTATTCTACTATGAATTTATGAAATAAAATATTGAAATAACTTTACCTTCTGGGGTTTCGAACTAAAATAAAAATTCTTCTTAATTTCTAGTCAAAATTATGAAGATTAAGTGCTATGATTTCTTATTAAGATGATGTAAGAAAATTAAACAACAATTTTTATTTTTATATGAGTAATTTTCCAGATTACCACAGTACTCCTCAGGTTCAGGCAAAACTTATTCAGGAAATGTTTGAATATTATCAAGAACCATCTCAGGACGAGCTAGTTGATCTCTCCTTCTAGTTATCCTATTTCATAATACTAAAATTTCATCATCCAAATAATAGAGTTCACTCAATATGGTTGACTCCTCTAATATGATTCATTACATTCATTCAGTGAGCAAGCAAGTATTATTGAGCTTCTATAGTTCTTCACATTTTCGATTAAGAAAACATTTCTGAATATCTCTGAACATGGAAGAATATAAGTTAGGAATTTAAGTAGTTAACTATAATTAACATTATTACCTAGAGTTTACAGATCTGTATGATGGCAACATTAAGCCAGTTGGAACCTAAACCCTGATATTATGTACTTAAATCCAAGTTGGCAGGTAGAAGTCTTAATGTATGTTCAAGGAATATTTAAGTATTATACTGTAAATTAAAGCCACTGAAGTACAGAAGGACGTCTCCAGCTCCAAAGAATCAAATAAGCGGACTCAGTAAAGAAAGTGTTTCTTAGAGCAAGACCAAGTGCAGCTCCTAAAAAAATCTTAGTTTTCCGACTCTAGGGAAAAATAAAAAGTAAATTTTATTATTCTTTAGCATTTTTTTCAAGCAAAATCTATACCTTTCAAGTTAAGCCCAATTAGA